GGAGTAGACATAGGCCAGTTTGGGTCGAACCACTATACATCGTGCATTTGCTTTTCTTATCCCTCAATTCTTTACCTTTATGCTACAATTTACTTGTTTTATGATTAATTGATTATCATAACATTTGCCATATTCACCGATTGCTTTAAAAAAGTCTAAAATCACAAATAACTCTAATTTGAGCATATGACAAAATAATTTCTAGTTACCAAAAGCTGGTCAAGCACTTTTTTTTATCGATTCCATTCAATGAACTTTACGCCTGCGCTTCGAATATTGAGATTTGCAACTTTTTAGCTTTTAGATGGATCTTTTAAGGAAGTTTCGATTTTACTCATTTTAAAATGGTTTAATTACATCCATTAAACTATTATTTTTTTTCCGTCGAAGATAGTAAATTATTTTTTTTCTATTAATGGCATCAAAATACCAATTATTTTTATTGAAAGTATTAAACTTTAAATTTTATTTATTGAACGTGTCAAACTTTCATACTTTTTCCTACGATATTAAATTTTGAGATGACAATTAAAGTTTACTTAAACATTTATAATCTAAAAAAATCTCAAATTAACCTTTTTTTTTTTTTTTAAATTATTTCAATAAAAACCACAAAAACTACCCAAATAAATAAAACCTACCCACACTCCAATTTTCTCAATGGCTCTCCCAATTTTCTCAATGGCTCTCATTATAAGCAACCATGGGGGAGGAGGCAGAATCCTCTACATCACCCGCACAAGAAACCCTTTCCGTCGCCACGTCATCTTCTTCCCCACCTCGACCTCGCCTACTCAAGCTCCTACTCCTACTCGTCTCGTAGTCTCGACTGCCAAGAAGCTCTTTTCTCGAACCGGACGCTTCGACAGCAAGAACCGCAGAGTGGCGGCGCAACCACTATGAAAGAGCAGCAAGAACAGACGACTGAACCACATAACGGAGGCTTCAGAATTCAGATTGAAGATGGAGCGTGGTAATATTAGTAAATTGAAAACGTTGGCGTGAGTGTTGATGATGGGCTTGTTGTGCGGATCTTACCCGGTGAAAACCCGACTTCTGGGGGGTTCTCAGTGGGACGGGTTTGGTTTCTTCATGCAAGACGTGGGCTTTTGGCATCGGCTTTGTGGTATGCATAATTGATTTTATTGAGTCTTTGAATAGACATGTTAAATAAGTTGAATTGGGAATTCTTGAATAGTTGCAGTCACATGGTTATATTTATTGTTTGAAAATGAATATTTTAACTTAGAAGATTTCGAATTAAGTCAGAATTTGTGATGTTAGTTTGGTTGGATTTTGAGAATACTTCTTTAGTATTCCAAAAAAAATTAAACAGTAAAATACCCAAAAACTCACAATTATTCAACTTTATTCAACATTTTTAAACCTCATAAATTTGTTAATTCAATTAAATACCCCTAATATTTTTAATGTTTTTGTTACGGCGACTCCGGCACCCTCCGGCGGTGGTGGCCGACTGTCGGTATTTGAGGGTGGATTGGGGGTGTTTTTGTTAACTTTTAATGTTTTATTATAAGGGGTGTTTTGTAAAAAAAAAACATAGGGGGTATTTTATTAATTTGTAAATCTTACATCGTAATACCCGTCAAATTCAACTTTTTTTTAACTTTTTTTCAAAAAAATTTTCCCAAAAACTCCAAATTGTGAACCAAACGGAGCCATTATTCTTATTGAAAATATTTAGTGGCGGCTAATGTCCAAATCAGCTAATGAGGAATCTATTGTGATCAGCATTCTGGTAGGTTTTATTTATATGATAATTTTTGTAGTCTTTATTGAAATAATTAAAAAAAAAATGGTTAATTTGAAATTTTTTAGATTATAATATCTAAGTGCTTTAATTATTATGTCAAAATGTCAAATCAATACAACAAAATTGCCATATCAATGATTTTAATGACAAAAATATCATGTTAATAATATTTAACGCTATAGAAAAAAAATATTAAATTTGGTAATTTAATAGGAAAAACTTAAAGTTCGATGCTTTTAATAAAAATAATTAATAGTTTGGTATCTTAATAGGAAAAAAATGGTTCGATACCTTTAATAGGAAAAAAAAATAATTCGGTACTTTCTAATGTAATTAAGCCTTTTAAAATTGAAACTTCTATAAATATCAATATTAAATGTAGCCACCTTAGGCCAGAGACGTCGATGGCCTGTGATCTTTCTTTTACAAAAAAAATTAATTTGGTTTTGTTTATTTTAATTTAATTTTTAGTCCCTATTTGTTTTAGTATTTTTAATTTATTGTTTAATTTTGTTGTTTTGAATTTTTTTTTTTTAAATTGTGATGATTTTTTACTTTTTACTTTTTATTTTTATATGAATTTTGTCTATTGTTAGAAAGTAATAAGTTAAATCTATAAATTTACTATCTTACCCTTACACAATGTTAAATTTAACACAACTATTACAAATTGTCCTTTTTCTGTGTATTTTTTTTGTCTTTTCAAAAAATGGCCCTTGATTAACTGAAGGGTTTAAATTTATAAAAAAGAAAAAAATAATGTTAATTTTGAATTTTATTTAACAAGAGACTTGGAAAGAGTTTACATGGGTTCAAATAACAATACTCTATTGAGCGATAAAAGCACATGAAATGTTAATTTTATCTCTTATGAGTGTTATACATATAAGATCATTATAAAAATTAGGGTTTATCTTCTTTAAACCCTCTTGAAATCAATTAGCATTAAACTCATATGCTTCATTTAAAAAGTATCAAAAACACCCTTGTCGATAGTGATATGTTGGTTCTATCCAATTTTAAATTCAAACATCAAACGTCTATTTTACGCCTCCTATCACTTACCAATTTATATTTATATTTTATACACTTAAGCACTGTTTTAAAAGCCGGACTGAACTGGCCGGTCCAACCAGTTGGACCGGGACTCGGTCACGTGTTCGGTCCGAGCCAATATAAAACCCGAGATTAACCAATGGACCGTTATAACCCGTTAAAAAACCGTATAAACCGTGTAAACCGTTGGTCGGACGAGACCGATTGAAAAATCGGTCCAGGGTCTGAAAAGGGGAAAAATCCTTAATTCTCAATTTCTCTGATTTCTCCTTTCTCTACGCAAAATCCTCTGAAAAAATATTAACACAAATATGAAAATCTAAAATCCCACACAAATCGACACTCAATCTCAATGAAATCCACTCTCTGAGTCTGAAATCGTTGTTGAAATCGACGCAACTTAAGCCTCTGAAATAGCGACGATGCCTTCCTCCCTCGCCGGAAATTGATCAACACAATACACAAACGATTTTAAGATTTCTCTTACCTAGGGCAATTGAATCGGTGATCGACTGGACTGAAGTGGAGTCGTGCTTAGTTACTGCATAATATTGAATCGAAAATGAATAGGGAATTGGAGAGTAGAGACAAAGGATTTAAACGGAATTTGAAATGTCATGGTGGTGATTAAGCTAGAAAATGGAGTTATGGAGATGTCGAGACAGATGAGACAGTGTCACGGTAGTGGTTCAGCCTTTGGGAGTTGGAGACAGAGAGGATTCAAAGCAAACGGGATTTGGGGCTGCTATTTGGGTTTTGTTGCATTTTGAATTTGTATTGAAGTGGTTAACTTCCTGGTTCCCGTATGGGTTTTATTTATTCATTTGGGTTGAATGATGTTTGTTGTTTCTAGGGTTTAGCAATTTGTGATGTTAATTGAGTTTGTGATTTGTCGGGTTTAGAATAAGTTTTGATCCTATGGATTATGAAAGTATGGAAGGTTGGATAGTTGATGATTAAGAAGAGGTCAGTGAACTTAATTATGAGGAGTTGGAACAAATATTATATAGAGAATAATCTATTCCTGTTAGAGTTACTGATCACCCTTCTTTTTATAATTCAATCGATGATTTAGAACGTTGGTTTTAAATATTTAAGCAACTTAGTATCTATTCAAATTAAATTACAAGTTTTAACTTATGATTTTTATTTTTTACTGAAATTTACATAGATAATGGTGATGGTTATGATAATGATGGTAATGAATTTTGATGTTAGTGTGTGAAGCTCAATCAACATGGGGACGGATCAAAGAAAAAATACTTGAACCAAATGTTTTGTTATTAATTATTATGTATTTTTTCATTTAATATGTAATGGATGAATACAATATCATGTTTGGATTTAGACTTTAGATTGTTGTTAAATACTTAAATTGTATTAGGATTGTTATTGAATTTGAACTTTAAATCATGTTAGACAGTAATTAAGTTGTTATTGTTTTATTAAAAAATGAAAATCTTAAAAAAAAAAAAAAAGGTTTTTTTTAATGTGTTGACATCATCATGCTGCGTGATGACATCACCGATTCAACCGGTTGAACCGTGACCCGGACAACAGAGCGGGTTGCCCTCCGATCCAAGTTTTAAAACAATGCACTTAAGCCGATGGTGTTGATGTGGGGTTTGATATCCACGGATCTAACAATGACGATGATAGTGTGCGAGTCCTCACAAAAACTTGGTTTCATTTTTTGTGTAAATGAAATATAAAATACACAAAGGAAGATAAGAAAATTAAAAAAATAAAACAAAGTAAAAGGAAATTAGAAAAAAAAAATGAGAAGATTTCTGTTGCCAGGAATCGAACCGAATATCCTAACCGACTAGACTACAATGTATTTTTGTTTGTGTCTGAATTTTATGTTAAATTAATTAATTAAATACAATAGTTTAATTTCAAAAGACTAATTTAACTCATAACTAAAAACAAACATACATATAATTAACCACCGGTGCCCCTAGCAAGTCGTGAATGAAATCCCAGAGAACAACTCCCACTCAACTATGGTAAGAAGTGCCTATCATTTGTCTCCTTTGTATTATTTTAAGGACTTTGATTGAATTAAAAAATGTCGAGAGAAAATTAAACTTCCCAGAAACAAAAATATCTGAATTCATTTGTTTCTATACAACTGATTATATAAGATTAATTTGAACTGCAGCTTAACAATAGATGACAAAGAAGAAATATTCTACGGGTTTCTGAAAGTTTAAACAAAGCTCATACATCAGTCAAGATTAATGAAGATACAATCACAACATAGGCAAGAAAAAAGAAAATGGCTATTTGAACGAAGAACTTTGGATTTTCCCTCATGTTTGGTGATGTAACTGCCCTACAAACCAGAACACCATGTATATAAAGTAAATAAATAAAAAGGGGTGAAAATCTAGTTCAAAAGAGTATTCCTCTCATTTTTCAATAGGAAATTACCTAGCAATGCGCTGAGAAAATCTGTGAAAAGGCAAACTCTGGATGAAGACGATGCCTGGTCCCGTTAGAACAGCTGTCACCAAATTGTCACCCTGAAATTTCAACATTGTTATGAACAGAACATTCTAACAAACGAACAACAATAGATGTATAAAAGCATGAATGTTGAACTCCCAAAAAAGCCTGGATCTAGCACCATGATTTTTAGATTGTATTAAATCGCTGGAATGCCTCAAGGACCTCCTCGTTGTCGTCAAACTATTTATAGAGTTGCAAGAGAATCTAAATAGAAGGGTTTATCCCTCAGCAGCAGCCACAATGTACAAGGTGCTCAAATTACATAGCTCTCAATGTCATTTTAATTATGCATATCTCCCCTGTCACTTAGCCAGCCATTTTATTGAAATGGGAGGTTTCAATCCACAAAGAACTGAAGATCTTCTACAAGAATATCATAGATACAGAGTGAATGCAGAGACAGAGTAGAAAACACTAGTAATTGAAGTAACTTACCCCAAAGACCACCCTTCGCATGGGTCCATTGTATTTAATTTGGACATTGACTGAGGCAGTGAGGGCCACAATGCAAGACACATCAACAGTTAGTATCTCGCCCACTTCAAGATTTTTCTGCACAACTAGCAAAAAGGAAATAACGGTCTGCTGATTAGTCTAAATGATACAATATCCAGAAACTATATTATATTGACACAAGAAATGTTATAAACCTATACAAGAAGCATAATGTGCTAGTCAGTTAACTATAGCAGGTGAAAGCAGTAAGGGTAATAAAGAGCAAAGAGGGGCAAAAGTTTGCTAAACAGCAAGCTGGAGAATTCAATTTGAGCAGTACAACAACACTAAGGTATAACTACACAGCCAAGGTACAAGAACTACCCGGCGAAGGCATGCTTGAATCAGGAACAAACTAAAAGCTAGTCAACATTCAGTTCCAATTACATTATCACAAAATTTAGAGCAGACCAAACTCTTTAGAGATCCTGACAAGAGTATTTCTAGAGGTATACATATAAATCAAAAATGCATACCAGATCCACCAGCGAGAATAAATGCAAGCCCCTGGCCGGTTAGCTTCTGTCTCAGAAAACCCTATATTAGAATTGAAGTATTAATTAATAAGATTATTTGGAAAATTCGGGAGAAAAAGCAAAGTGGCATAAATTAAAATCTGAAAAACATAAGGTACTAGAAGAGGCAGAGGCACGGAACCAATAGTGTGTGTGCACGTGCACAGTGCACACACGAAGAAGAGAGGACAGTAAGCTAACTCTCAGTATCATCTTACCTCTGCACTAGCGACAGTGCACGCACACAAAGAAGAGAGGACAGAAAGCTAACTCTCAGTATCATCTTACCTCTACACTAGCGACAGTGCATGCACACAAAGAAGAGAGGACAGAAAGCTAACTCTCAGTATCATCTTACCTCTACACCAGTGACAACATTTCTTGGCCTCTGATCAACCGTATTATTGACTTTCACATCATTGACAGAGCACAAAAATGCATCTGGCTACAAAACAATTAGACAACGGACTAAGTGTTGCATAGAAATCTGGAAGAAAAGCACTTTCTATACAAAAAAAAAAAAAAAAAAAAAAAAAAAAAAAAAAAAAAAAAAAAAAAGTAAATTGAACAGCATCAGACAACTACAAATATCCAAACTTAATAACTGAAAGAGGAGGAAAACTAAAAGTTTAAGTAGCAGAAGGACAAATAACTGAAGTGAAAAAAGCCAGCTCTACCTGGCATAAAAGCTCTCCTCCAAACATTGCTAAATCAATCTGTAAAATAAATGGGAACCAATCACAAATCATTTGCTATAGTTAATCATATCCAAAATACTTCTGGAACATCAACTATTGGTAAACTTTAAATATACAGGAAATGTAATAGCTACAGAAACTTGGTATATCTGAAGTACAAACCGGTAGAATCCTTGCAAGAGAAGGTGCAGCAATTCCAACAAATCCATCACTTGTACCAGGATTGCGGAAAACTACACTAGTCACGCTCTTGCCAAAAAGCCACTGCCACATGCCCACTTCATTTTCAGGGATGTAAACATTTTCCATTTCGACAGACCCAGACATGAAGCACATGGAACCTAAAATTTATTCATATATAAGGTGAAACATCAATATAATATAACCAAAAAAGGAGAACCATTTTATCATTTCAGATTCACAAACTTACACCATATATATCATGGAGATGCAATAGAGCAAACATTATCCATATTTAAAGCCAATTGTGGGGCTATAGAAACTAAATTTTTTAAGTTAAATTGTAGAAACATATACTAGCCATCTACCACAGCAATCTAAGGTTTAAAGTTGTTGAGATGGCATAAAATAAATTAAAAAAAAAAAAAAAAAAAAAAAAAAAAGGAAACAAGAAGCTGTTTTAACTCCTCTCTTAAAGTCCTTAGATTGAAATGTGATAGATACCTCTCCCAACTCAGCCAACAGCAACCAAAACAGCAAGCAGTAAACAATATAAACCCAGAAAATCAACACACTCTGTAGCCAAAATCTAGAAAAGCAAGACAACCAACACTTTTATTAATATTCCAGAACAAAATACACAGCAAATAGAAACTAGCAAAGCTACCCAACATAGAAAAAACAAACAGAAAACTCAATAAAAAGAAACAAGGATAATGGTGCTGGACTTTGAGGGCCAGCTCCTCCCTAATTACTAGTCTTCGAGGGCTAGTTCCTCCTTTAATCCCTTCTATTTTCTTCTTCCCTAAAACAGTTCTCTCTTTCTACTTTCTTTTATTTTCATCTCATTCTCTCTCAATAACCAAATTTCCTTTCCTGACCAACCAGTATATGCCATCTGTCCCAGCCCAAATATACTCCTTGACACCTTTCTACAATAAGAATCTTCCTGTCACCTCCCTTGTTATCTGCTGCCAACTCCCTTACCTTTCCTTCCATAAACCTTCATCATTGTAGTTTCATCAAAATGGAATGAATTTGTCTCACAGTTTAAATTAAAAACTTAATTTACAATAGCATGAATCTAAAGCTAAATATGTGCTGGACATAAAAAAATATTTTCGTTTACTTCCAACAAGTTATCAAGTAATCATGATGCATTTACTCAGACACTTATGACAAGATCATCACCTTGAGATGCAACAAGATCAACAACCCATACCAAGGAGCCCCTAATGCATGGCTCCAGCCAAAGGGCTAGATTGAGGAAGAAGCAAACAATTTGCCAAATTATTTAAGGTTGTATTTGGGGTTACTAGGAGATAAAGTAAATACTGATAACCAGTAAAAAGGTAACTTGTACTGCATTTACCTAATTGATACCAATAGGAAAACAGAGGGGCATGCACAACTAGTGAAAGGGTAATAACGTAAGACAAAATGGAGACTTGGAGACGGGCGGATCCAGCCTACTTTTGGGTGGGCCATGAATTTTATTTTAAAAAATACTAATATATATAATTTCTAGATTTTGGCCCACCCTAACAAAAATATTAATGAACAAAAATATTAATGTGTAATTAGTTTTTATTTTGGCCCACCCTAACAAAAATTTCTGGATCCGCTACTGCTTGGAGATACCATGATTCTTAGTATTTCAAAAGGTTGGGAATATGTCAAGCCTAAAGAAAATCACCATTCCAAAGGCTTTTATGTGTGTGTAATCAGACAAGCAGATATTGAAACATTTGGATGGGGAAGACAGATGTTACTGTTGATTGTGTCACAAAAGAACTAAACTATATAATCCAAAGTTTATATTGAGGGTCTAGGTAACAGCCATCAAGAGTAAATTGATATACTAATTCTCCATGCTATAACAAAACTAAAAGAGAACTGCATGAAGGCAGATTAAGAAACCGACTGCCAGCCACTTACCAGGCCTTGCAATAACCTTCTCTTGTGGGTTCAACATTATCTGAGAAAGCAAAAACCAATAATAAGAAAAATAAATGAGTTATAGATAGGAGCACATGGAACAGAAGCTAAAGAAAGTATGTTTCAGATGTCATCAAAAGTACCTGCACAACCTGAGCTTCACCACCTAAAATCTGGAAAGGTATTACAGCATCTTGTGGACTCTGCAGTACAATAGCCATAAAAATTTGTAGACAACAATTTCTTGCTTTAGTATATAAGCATAAGCATAAGCATATACTACTCGGTTTGTGCCTATTTTATTCCTTCCTATACATTTTTGTGTACAACAAATAATACCAATTCAACTTTGATTGTTTGGTCTCATCATTTTGATTTCCAATTGTTACACATATAACATTTCAACAGTCTACACAAACCTAATCTCCCCAACAAACTGATTATCCAAAAATCATAGACGCTGTGTAAGAATACAATCAACGAATTGGATAAATAGTCACCTCAACCCTAACTAGCAAATTAAAAGGCATGATCTTCAAAGTGCACTTAAAACAAAACAGATCAAACGCAAAAACAGTCTAACCCATCAATTCTAACAAATTTAAGGACAAAACTTCATGAAAGCAATCAATGCCGTAGTTAGTCGGGAACATAAAAAGAAATAAAATAAAATTCTCTCCGCAGCCAAACAAAAAGTTAGTAAAAATCTTTTAAGCGATTAGATAAATTCAAGAGAGATACCTGGTAAACATATGGTTGAAAAGGCGTTGAGAAAAACGGCGCGGCCATAACGAGAGACGCGGAAGATTGTAGTTTTAAGGAAACTAACAAGAAGAAACCGAAACGTCTGACTTCTCAGATCATTCACTTCAGCATTGAGATCTGGTTTGTTTGATCCGATCAAAACAATGGATTTTCATACAGTTTTCACTAAAAAAAAAAAAAAAAATTGCCGGATTTCGGTTCTTTTCTAACTTCGTGGTTTATAGAGTCGCGGAATAAATAAAAACAAAATTTTAAGTGACTAAAATAACCTTAACAATTGATATTTGCTAATAGATTTCACCGAACTGGTATTATTTTAAAATGGCTTTTTAGTCAATTGACTTTCATTCTGGATTTTTGGTTCCCATCATTACATGGTTTTTGCACTAATGTTTGTGCGACATATTACACGTGGAATTATTATGATGTGGCGTCTTATAATTGGAGGAAGTTCAAGTCCTGACGCGTTCGACTCTTGTCACTTGTCAGCCTACGTTACCTCGCTTTCGCGGTGGGAAGTGCCATACTGGCGGACTGTTCTCGCGACGTCGTTTCCCAAAATGTTGTTTGATATGGACTTTTTTCTGTGGGCCACACCGTCTCCTAACTTTCCTAATTGGGTAATAATTATCTATGGAATAATGCTAGTCTTACTCATTCTCACTACTCAATTCTCTTATTAACAAAGGTAAGTAAAGAAAGTGAGTAAGACTAACATTACTCTTATCTTTCAATAGCAACAGTTTAAAAACTGTACTTAAAAAGACACCAAATTTTAATGTTTAATGTTGAAAATGGCAAAATCTTTGTATTTGATCAAAATATGGATTTTCATAGATTTTTTGAATTACTGATATATTAATTTTGTAATTCTCATAAACAATTAAGGTGTAATTCTCACTCTAGTTGTTGTTACGAAATCTCACACAACTAGAGTGATCTGATTGACCTTATTTAAATCAAAACCGATGGCCTCATAATTATAAATAATCAGCAAGTGAATTGAAAATACAGATGCAAAAAATAATTTTTTTATAATTGATATGGCTGCCAACAGTCAGATCTCTAGCTATTAACAACGGTAAAAAATCTTACCGTTATAAATCTGGCCGTTTTCAACAAGATCTATTGTGGATTTGGTCGGAAATGGTCATATCGGCGTATGACTAGCCAAATCCAGTCTGTCATGTGCAATTTCTGCTACTACCGGCTGCCATCCACGGTGGTGGCCGACTGTGTTCTTAGGTGACTAGGGTGCTTTAGTTAATATTTAAACTTTTATTATGAGAGTGTTTAGCTAATTAACAAATGTAGAGGGTAAAAAAATAATTAAATATAATATTTATATAATAATATTATTAAAATAGATAATATACCCACCAATTTATTCCTTCCAACCAAACATATATAAAACACCCACAAATTTATCTAACTAAACACATTTCCTTAAACATTCCTAGTAATCTTCAAAGTAATATATATTTCCATTAATATAACATTTTTAGTAATACAACATTTCTTGAACCAAATACACCCTTATAATCATTTGCTAAGTAAGCACTCTAGAGTGTAAATATAAGCTACTCTCCACTCACCTTGCTTTTTAATGTGAGACTCAAACATTTTTTGAATAATTTTCTTCCCTGAGTTTTCCAACAATCCTCCACATATTCCAATTATTGTAACAATAACCAAAGATAAAAGACTTCAATGTATATGAATTGGTGTCGTCACGGCTATGAACCAACCATCAAATTATTAATCACATCCCACAAGAACTTAGTGAAACTTAAAGCTTCTATGAACCAATATTCTTTTATTGTGAGTTAGAGAACTAGTAATTTAGAATGAAATCTATAACAATTTTTTATTCTACAGTTTGACACTTTAATGGTCTTATACCAGCCTAGAATTCATGAATGCTCTAGAGATGCATGCCTTAATTGTCATAGGAACCGACCCAATTTCACACTCACATAGGTAAACTTCCATCAAATGTATTATGTATAACACAATATTCATGGTCAGTGTTAGGCCCAAAAAATGTCCTCGGCCCAAGTAGGTCAAAAAACAAAGACACCTTCAACAAGGCTGGAAGCTCAGGCCCAATTCCGATTGGACTCATAACAGTGTTCTGCAGATAAGGCCCGTTCGGTATGCTTTCCTAGTTTCTCACCATCTGGACCCAGGCCTTCTGATCCTAGGATACCTTCTGGACTTACGATCAACTTGAAGCCCACAATCGCCTACGAACTATAGTACTACTTGAACTCTACTAAAGAAGTCAATCACTATCCTGATTCATCTAAGGTCCATATCCTAGGCACGCTAGGACTCCCTTTCCTATTGAGATAAGGGAGCCAAATGCTCCACTCTTTCAGAAAACCACCGTTGCAAGGATTCCCAGTCCTACCAGGATTCGAAGACCTTGTAGTCACTATTTAAACAAAGGTCAGCACTTTCATAAAGGACGGAGACATTACACCTTCACACCTTGGAGTTCCCACTTTTGAGAACTTCACATTACAGCCGCAATCATAGTCTCCGACTAGACTTCCGGTAACCTTTCCTTTCCCTAACCCTCACTAAACTAGCGTCATTCAGCCTTGTTGACTTGAGCGTCGGAGTGCCTACGGCAAACACCACCCCAGTGTTTTTCGTCCGCTTCACTCTTGTTTTCTTGCATATGCATGTGCAACAGATCACTAGTGGCCTCAACCTCACGGGATCAGTCCCTCTTTCCATAAAGGTAGATTTTTGCATCTACAGTTTGGCGCCCACCATGGGGCCTCTAGCAATCATTCGTCTCACAAACCCTGCTACGTAAAGAAACTTTCTATGGCTGAAAATTCTAATAACACTAATCCTGGCTTCGAGGCCAAACAGGAGGCTCTAACCGCCCTCATGCAACAACACTCAAACAAGGTGGCCGCATTGGAAGCTGAGAACACTATCATCCAGACCGAAAAAGCCTCCATCAAGGCCGAAAACCAGTCTCTAAAAGAGAAGGTAAGTCAGTTTTATGATCTTAAGCTTCTGCCTTGTCAGGCACAGCCTAATCGGTTCCGCGCCTCAGTTCCGTCTATGCAACCTCTCCAAACTCCAGAGCACAGACCAACGATCTCGGATACGAGGTCACGCCAACTATGTTCATCATTAGTTACCAATTTAGCCCTGACTCACAGTGAACGGGGGCTGCCAATAGATACACTCTCGATCGATCCCTTCAAGCTCTAGATCAAGGCGTCCAAGTGACAGAAAGCCCGCTACAACAAGAGCCATCCATCCTTGCCATCCCGTCTCACCTTTAGTCAACCATCGCTACCCAAACCCCACTAGGCCTCGGCTCAGCTTGGCTTGGCTTGGCTTGGCTCGGCTAATCCTAGCGGGTCGAGCGGTCTCCTACTCCTTCAAACCATCCCGCTCGAGTCCATCCATCCCAACGGACCGAGCGAATCCCAAATAACCCCTCTTACAATCCATGTGGGGCGAAACACCCAATCAGTCACAATGGGAGTCATCCAACCGGAGGGAATGAATGGGGATCCAGGCTACCAAGCGGTACATGATGGGATGATCCACCATGCTACACCACGTGGATTGACCTAACAAAACGCACCGAGTGCAAATCATGTGGCCAACCGAGTCAATCAGGATGACCTAGTGGTATCTGCCTCTCCCATGGAGCAAATATTAGCCAAGAGACTGGCCGACATAGAGGCAGTGATGAGGCGCATACCAGGAATGCCAATCCCAACCAAAAGGAGTCAACCTAACTGTTATGCCGATTCAATCTTCGTGGATGCAATCGCACTAGCCGAGATGCCACACAGATTCACCATCCCCATCATGAAGCCCTACAACAGCACAACCGACCTAAATGACCATATAGCCTCCTACAAGTAGTGGATGTTTGCCGTCTCAATACCCCGAACACTGAGGGAATCCTGCATATGTAAGAGCTTCGGTTCAAGCCTTTCCGGCCCAACTCTTCAGTGGTACACTAACCTTCTAAACAATTCAATCAACTCATTTGCCTAGCTCACTAACACCTTCGTTGAGCAATTTGCCAGCAGCAAGAAACTTGAGAAGCTATCGGCCGACCTATATAGAGTCTACCAGAAAATGGGGGAGCCACTGAGAGAATACGTCAGCATATTCAACAAAGAAAAAATCTCATTCCCCTCCTACAACGTAGAGACGATAGTAGACGCCTTCAAAAAGGGTATCCTCCTAAATGGAGAACTATACAAAGACCTGATGAAGCTCGGCTGCACCACGATGGAAGATGCCCTAGCCAAAGTTGTGATTCAGATAAGGTAAGAGGAAGATGAGATGAACTGGATAAGGCATGCTAGGTACGACGACCGTCACCAAAGGCGGAATGATAGAAGGTCAGAGTCCAGATCGATTGAGCCCCGTTACCAACCCCTTCCACGCAATCTGAACAAAGTCAAAAAATCATATGACTGCCAGCCAATTAGAGTCGACAACAGACCATCCGGATCGAACCAATATAAAGTTCTAGAGTACAACCTTAACGTCGAACCAGCCCAGGTCGTGGCAATCATGAAAGAGATGGGACCTACCGTTAAGTGGCTGAACAAGCTTAATCCCGAAGCGAGGAGGGACACAATCAAGTGGTGCGAATTCCATGGTGACCATGGTCATAACACCGCGGATTGCATTGCCCTACAGTTGGAAGTCGTAGCACTACTGAAGAGGGGACATCTCCGAGATCTATTAACGGATAAAGGGAAGAATATAGTCAGCCAGAGAAGCTCGAAGGAAACATCTCCTCCTCCACAAGAACCTACACCAAAGGGGTTCTGCTCAATTATCTTTGGAGGGTCGGAGATCAGTGGGGTAAGCTATTCCTCGGCTAAGCGTTATGCCCAAGCCAGCCATCACCTTGAAGTCTAATCCATCCATCCGCCCTCTCGGTATCACACCAACCAGGTAATTCAATTTGAAGATGACGAGCCAGTCACCCTGGCCACCTTTCATCACGATGCTCTAGTCATCTCCTTCCAGATTGCCAACATCTTGGTCAAGAGAGTATTCATAGACGGAGGATCCTCGACAAACATTCCCTTCCTTGAAGCAGTGAAGGTCATGGGACTGGATGAAACAAACATCAGTAGACAACCAACCATACTGGTCGGGTTCAACTCCG